AAACAGGTTAGCCAGACTTGAGTCCTGGAGGTGGGAGGTAGTGCCTGCACTCTGAAGGAGAGGTGGAGATACTTGCAGTTTGGAGGTGCATGTGAACTGTAGTACCAGCATGCCACTGGCAAGACAGTGATGAAGTGACTTCTAATAATAATAATAATCTTTTTTTACACAAGTACATGTACAAGGTATAGTATATAAGCCTAGCTGACATCAATGACATACTACTATACAGAAAGTCCCTTGTTATGCAGAGCATTTCTGGTAAATTAGGCCAGTTTTGTCCCCAGGATGCAACCCACACCAGTCAACTAACACCCAGGTACCTATTTTACTGATAGGTGAATATGGACAGTAGGTGTCTTAAGGAAACATGTCCTAATGTTTCCACCTATACCAGGGATCGACCCTCAGACTTCAGTGTGAGCTGAGTATACTAGCAATCTCACCCTACCTTAGTGGGAGATGGTTAGTATGTTAAATAAATAAATTGTGCGTGCATATACTTTATACACAGTAGAACCCCCATATCCACTGATTTGGTATCCGCAGTTTAGTTATCCACAGTTTACTGTGGACAAAAAATACCTTTTAATTTTGCATAATAATGGCCCCAAAGTGCAAAAGTAGAAAAGCTGGCAGTTCTTCAAAACCTAAGAGAAGCCACGAAGTGCTTCCCATCAGTGAAAGTGATAATGCTCCACTTATTGTGCATAATTTATCAATTAAACTTCATAATAGATATGTATAGGACTTATATATAGGGTTTGCTACTATCCACAGTAGGTCCTTGGAATGTTATCCCTGCAGATACAGGGGTCCTCCTGTATTTATTATACTTTTTTTCGACAAGTAGGCCGTCTTCTACCGAGGCAGGGTGACCCAAAAAGAAAGAAAATCCCCACAAAGAAAATAATTTCATCATCATTCAAAACTTTCACCTCACTCACACATAATCACTGTCTTTGCAGAGGTGCCCAGATACAACAGTTTAGAAGCATATATAAAGATATACAACATACCCCTCCAAACTGCCAATATCCCAAACCCCTCCTTTAAAGTGCAGGCATTGTACTTTCCATTTCCAGTACTCAAGTCCGGATATATAAAAATAACTGGTTTCCCTGAATCCCTTCACTAAATATTACCCTGCTCACACTCCAACAGCTCGTCATATCCCAAAAACCATTCATCTCCATTCACTCCTATCTAACATGCTTCCTGGAAGTCCAAGCCCCTCGTCCACAAAACCTCCTTTACCCCCTCTCTCCAACCTTTTTGGAGACAACCCCTACCCTGCCTTCCTGCCCCTACAGATTTATACACTCTCCAAGTCATTCTACTTTGATCCATTCTCTCTAAATGACCAAACCACCTCAATAACCCCTCTTCAGCCCTCTGACTAATACTTACAGTAACTCCACACCTCCTAATTTCCACATTCCGAATTCTCTGCATAATATTTACACCACACACTGCCCTTAGACAGGACATTTCCACTGCCTCCAGCCGCCTCCTCGCTGCAGCATTTGCAACCCAAGCTTCACACCCACATAAGTGTGTTGGTACCACTATACTTTCATGCATTCCCTTCTTTACCTTCATGGATAACGTTTTTTGTCTCCACAGATACCTCAATGCACCACCCACCTTTTTTCCTTCATCAATTCTATGGTTAACCTAATCCTTCATAAACCCATCTGCTGACTAGTCAACTCCCAAATATCTGAAAACATTCACTTCTTCCATACTCCCTCTCTCCAATGTGATATCCAATTTTTCTTTATTTAAATCATTTGATACCCTCATCACCTTACTCTTATCTATGTTTACTTTCAACTTTCTACCTTTACACACCCACCCAAACTCGTCCACTAACCTTTGTAACTTTTCTTTAGAATCTCCCATAAGCACAGTATTGTCAGCAAAAAGTAACTGTGTCAATTCCCATTTTGTATTTGATTCCCCATAATTTAATCCCACCCCTCTCCCAAACACCCTAGCATTTACTTCTTTTACAACCCCATCTATAAATATATTAAACAACCATATTGACATTACACATCCCTGTCTAAGACCTACTTTTACCAGGAGGTAATCTCCCTCTCTTCTACACACCCTAACCTGAGCCTCACTATCCTCATAAAACCTCTTTACAGCCTTTAGTAACTTACTACCTATTCCACATACTTGCAAAATCTGCCACATTGTTCCCCTATCCACTCTATCATATGCCTTTTCTAAATCCATAAATGCAATGAAAATTTCCCTACCTTTATCTAAATACTGTTCACATATATGCTTTAATGTAAACACTTGATCTGTACAGTATTTAGTTTCAAAATGTGTACACTTCATTCCAGACAAAGACAGGTTAGTTGGTTAGTATCAGAGGAATGAGAGGGGGTAAAAGGGAGAAGAATTTTGATAGTTTTTTTATTTTACATATTTCTCAGTTTTTTTTTTTTTTTTTTTTGACCAGTTGCATTTATTTTTGGTTTATGGCCATTTGATGCCTGTCTCATATGTTTAGAATGTTTTGGTAAAAGTCAAGGAAAGAAATGAGTTTTGCTTCTCAATTCTGTATTGCTTAGGATTATGACCAAACTGATTATTTTTTATATATGACCATTTGGTGCATGCATAGTATCTTCAAAATTTTTGGGGTAAACTTCAGTCAAGAAATGCAAAACTGCAGTCTCAGAATGAATCCCTTTCTGTTACATGCTATAATGGGTTCATTTTACATCGCATTGGCCAGAAACACGTTTATCTCATAATACAAAGAACACCTACATATACTGTTACTATGCTTTAGATCTTGTTTTCTTATTATATTCTTCTGTGTTCATTGGCAATTACCTTCCACCTTTTTATTCTACAGCTTAATAGTTAGTGGTGTGAAACATGTAACTGCCAGGGATACCCTGCAACAACATTAAAATTAAATCTAAAAATCAACATATATACAGTACAACATTGACATAAAAAACTCACTGCAGTCAACTTAAAATTTCTGCTTTGAAAAAGAAAAATCTTAAAAACTAATATAGTAAGCTGTATAAATTCAGTATCACACTTAATGTCTATCCTTTTTCATGTATACACAATATCTGCTATATACAGTACCTGTATATGGCAGATATAATTCCTAAAAGTGTTGTATAAATAAGCAGGAAGATTCATTATTATTACATTAATCACAACTATGGCACTGTACAAATTCATATCAAATTCAAAGCATAATGTTTTCTGATCCATCCAAAAGAGTGACACACACAAACAAAGTAAAAATTTGCAGTGCAAATTAAAACTGCCTTTGCAAAATATCTGCTCTCTCTCTCTCTCTCTCTCTCTCTCTCCTCTCTCTCTCTCTCTCTGCCTTATTCACAAAATGACTACAATCAGGCCATTTCTGTAAATATTTACACTGTTCTATGCAGAATTCTATATTTCAACATCTTAGCTATAAAATTAAAAAGGCCCATAATTCAACACCATTAAAAATTAATTACTTATCATTTGATTAGTATCTCACAAATAATTACTAATTATTCACTTTTGAAATGTAATTAATATTTCTTATTACTACACTGTGTACTGTTCAATAATACAAGACAAGAACAAACTAAAATTTCTGTTACTGGATATCTAAAGTAATGTATGGATATTTCCAAAACAACTAACAAATCGTGAAATAATATACAGTAGAGTATTAATTATTCAAAACAAAGCTTGATATGAGCATATGATATTACCATGCAAGATTAATTACTCCAAACCAAGGTTTTTCCAGGTCACAGTAGCATGCAAAACTATCTGGTCATGTCAAGAATATATCTTGGACAACTATATAAAATATTAAAGCAAATACTTTATACATTTCAAACTTGAGTACAGCACTGGAAAGTATCAGCATTCAGTCACTGACAAAAATTCAGTGACTCGACTTAAAAGCTTTCTAACAATCTTTTTTTTCCCCTAGCCTCGAAAAGTTGGTTAGCTTGCCTTATATAAACAGTGGCTACTGTATTATGGCAGGGCCTACATACAATACAGAAATGCAAAATGATCCATGCTCAATGATCCACATAGGTTAAGCATTTTTTATGACTCACTGTCCTCAAACTTACCAAAGGCATATGATGCCAGTGTCACTCCCTTAGCCTTTGAAGTGGCTGTTTTAAGTAAAATGGAAATTTTACATTGAATTAGCAATGAGCTTTGATTTTGTACACCTTTATAAGACATTATAATATATTGAGTTATACAAATTAGATTTTCCATCCCCATCTAAAATATTAACAATAAATAAATTGTTTTGATATTAATATCTGAAATAAATAAATCAGAACTGAGGTTCATTTTCCTTTATGTTATCAAAGCTTAACCTACACACTATACATTTGTCGAATTACAATTTTGTCCTCATTTTTTTAATATGGGCTCTGTAAAACTGACCTATCAGCTTTAGCAAAATATTTTCAGAAAAAATTTTTCACCGTTTAAAAACAATTAAGTGTTAAAAGTATAAGCCAGAAAACAAAGTTTCATTTAGCAAATCATACGAAACTAACCGGTCAAAGAGATTAACAGTCTAATAGCATTTCTGTACTGCAAGCCAAACTTAGCATAACATTCACTACCTATAAAAAATTATGGTCAATGAGAGTATCAGTGTGACTGTGGGAAAAGCAATTGTTGCTAAAGTCAAAATATGAAGAAAATATGACTACAGGACAAATGCACCTATGATAGGCTAGGTTCTCTTTAGTGTTCTTCACATTACATCAGATTTGCTTAGTTTCATAACATTAGGTTCACTTGATTAGGTAATGCTATTTTATCCATCCTGTGACATTAGTGCTGACCACTACTTACATGCCCTCTGTGTTACAATTACCGACCATAAATAAGCAAGAATTTTATATGGGTGATTTTTTTTTAAACAATATATTATCCATTGTTTACTTTTATCAGCTGATTAACTCAAGTCAACTCACCACTAGCCAGAGTGCAGAAGTTGGTGCTGTGAATGTCACCAGCACTAGCAGCAGCACCTGCCAGCTCTCCTGCAGCCTCCCTCCACCTCTCCTGCCGTCCACCCGGGATCTGCAGCTTCAAGCGGAAGTGTAGGGGACTGAGAGAGCAGCAGCAGCAGCACGTCCTTCAGAACCAGCAACAAGCACAGCACAACACAAGCCTCCTACACAAACCACTTTTGACACTTGTACGTTTTCTCCACAGCTCGCCATGGGATAAGAGCCGCATTTTTCAGCGGAGCAGCGAGGGTGCAGCCGGTTAGCAGCAGCAGGTGGGGATATTGGCCAGCCTGGAAATGGTGGCAACAAGTTTCAGGAAGAGCATGATGAGGAGGGAGGGAGGGTGGTTAACCTTGGACACTGAGGCCAGCAGCAGCAACACCACCACCACCAGCAACAGCAACAACACCACCACCAGCACCACCACCACCACCAGTCGTTCACCTACACACTGGTAGCAGCAGCTCTTACTCAACCCCTCACACACCTTCACACACACAAACAATAACAAAGACACCTTGCCATCTATCAGTCACAACCACCGATACTGTTTTTTTTTTCTTCGTCCTTAAAAATCCTCCGTATAAACTGTGACCTTAATATAGCAAGTGAGAAAAGTAATAATGTTCACTCAAAACTTCTCACTATCCCGACACCCAAACAATAACAAAGACACGTTGCCACCCATCAATCAAAACTGTTTCTCTATATAAATACATACTTTATAAGTTCAACATATAAACTGTGTTCATATTGAAAGAAAACAGTAAATAAAGACTTACCGGAAAAATAACAAAGACACGTTGCTAGCCATCACTCGTTTTTATAATAATAATAGTAATAATAATAATAATTGTAGAAGGTTCATTCAAAAAATAATAGTTATAATTCAAATTTAAATTTATTTATTTATTTGCAAGTAGTACATTGAGATTATGTATTTACAATAATGGGCTGTAGTGCAAAGAGAGCCTCTATTATGCCTAGGCATTATGGGCCGCCTTAATTTAATGGCTTACTGACTATTAAAACACTAAACAAATTTATCATAGTTGTACAATAGTTCTATTAGCTATAAATGAATCTAAAATATTAACATAAACTTAACTTTTAAAGGGGTAAACTAGTAAGCTACTGGAAGGCCTCGGTCAGATGATCAAAAGCTCCAGTGGAAGGACATCATATGACTAAAACCCACATTAGGAAACACTTTTCCTATTTCCTGACGAATCTTACCTAATCGAATCATGCAATAATGATACTAAAACAAACTTACCTATCCTCCAGCTCAGCAAATATATCTAGTTGAACCAATCACACCTATTTTAACAACTTCCACACATCAAGTTTTTTTTTTACTCACTAAATGGTAATAACTATGACCATTGTGGAAAATACTGTTTATATTTTCCGGAAATACGGTAATTTATAGGTAAATAGATGGCCTATACTGTATTTAATAATATTTGTCATAGAAAACGGAAAACCTGCATCTGGGCAGGAGACTCGCCATCTTGGTTTTGAATTTTGTACAAACGTTGGTGTAATGGGAAGAATTTTTCGTGCTCTAGAGGTTAAAATTGTGGAAATATAAACACAAATGCAGTATAATGTGACCCTTTATTGACAACGTTTCGCCCACACAGTGGGCTTTTTCAAGTCACACACGGATCTACCTGGGGTTGGAAGGTACGAGAGTATTTATAGTCATGTTCAGAATGTTGAGGTCAGGTGGAGAATGCTGCATCTGATGATCTACCGGGTGGAGTTATAGAGTCTTGGGTAGCTTGGCAGGGGTATTGGACAAGTTGTAGACCTTCTGCAGTGTTCTATGTTCTTATGTGGGATAGCGATGAAGAAGTTTCTTGGCGAGTGGTTCAGCTATGTTATAGAAGCCATTGTTCTGGTTGAAATTGTTGGTTATAGAGATAAGCGATGATTCCAGGATTCTTCTGTATTGAGTGTTGTCTTCTGTGGCTATAAGTCTTGAGTTTCTGTAGTTAATTAAATGGTTGTGTGAATTGCGATGTTGTACACAGGTGTACATTCCTGGATGTGCATTCCTGCATAAGTTGAGATATCAGACGACTGGACAAGACAGCTCCAGGAACCTCGGATAAGCTCTCTAGATTTGTGTGTAATTCTGGCCGGCATTATTTTCATAGATTTAGTTAGAGTGAGGTTTTCTGAGTATGATACACATTAATCTCGAGTCAAATTGGTGAGTGATATTAAAATATATTTTCCTTCTGTTATGTAATTGTGTATATATATAACCATTTATTATTTTTAATATACAGTCCACAAATTTATATATTTATCAGTATTCCTGGTGTATGTATATTTCATTTAATTAATAGGTCCAGAGCAACTTGTGGTTATGACAGTGGTAGGTATCGAAGGGGGACATTTTTTGCGACCTAGGTGTCCCAAATTCCTACTTGTCTATGTAACATTGATAAATAATAATTATCTTTGTTATCATTTACTGTTATGTACATAATTAGTTACATTCAGATAAATGCAATTTTCCACAACTAGAATTTTTAAAAGGGTGGACCGGTAAGTCAGCGGAAGACCTCGGTCAGATGACCAGAAGCTCCAACGACGGGTCATCATCTAAGACCCACGTCAGGAAACATTTGTCCTGTTTCCTGACGAACCTTGCCTAACCTAAGCATATTTTTAATAATTTTGTAAGTACTTCGTGTAAACTGTGACTGAATACAATATAAAGTCAGAACTTGGCTCCTTAGCCCAGACAACACAACCCATCCTCACAAATTCTACTGTGCGTTACTCACATACGGTTTGCAACAATTTTTTTCGATTTTCGCTATTTACGTTAGGTTGTCCTCCATAAAAAAATAACCATTTATAGCATACCTCAACGGAAATAAAGGAAATATAAGAAAGGTGATAAGAAATACTGCCGCACGAAAAGAAAACAGACAACCACCGAACGAAGTAGAAAATCCTGTGAAACTTTTCACTGTTTAAGGCATCTTGATTAGTTACCCATTTGACTGTCTTTACAACAATGAAATGTTGTTTGTTATTAAGAGAGGCTGAACAACGGCACGTTGCCAACCATCAAATCACAACTGGAACTCAAAACGTTCAACTATTCATCAGACCCACGATTTCGTGAGTCACTAACACATTAATTTCGTAAACCACCAAGTGTTTCATCCAACTTCATTACCTTAATTAACTCTGAGACTTAAGTAATATCAAAGACACGTTATCAACCACTAATGACAATCCAATCCTTAATGGCTCTTGTTTCTCTCCACAGGTTCCCGTCCACTCACTGTATTCTATTACCTGGAGTTTACCTGAAGAGAGTTCCGGGGGTCAACGCCCCCGCGGCCCGGTCTGTGACCAGGCATCATGGTGGATCAGGGCCTGATCAACCAGGCTGTTACTGCTAGCTGCATGCAATCCAACATACGAGCCACAGCCCGGCTGGTCAGGTACCGACTTTAGGTGCTTGCCCAGTGCCTGCTTGAAGACAGCCAGGGGTCTATTGGTAATCCCCCTTATGTATGCTGGGAGGCAGTTGAACAGTCTTGGACCCCTGACACTTATTGTGTTGTCTCTTAACGTGCTAGTGATACCCCTGCTTTTCATTGGGGGGATGTTGCATCGTCTGCCAAGTCTTTTGCTTTCGTTGTAAGTGATTTTCGTGTGCAAGTTTGGTAGTAGTCCCTCTAGGATTTTCCAGGTGTATATAATCAGGTATCTCTCCTGCTGCGTTCCAGGGAGTACAGGTTCAGGAACTTCAAGCGCTCCCAGTAATTGAGGTGTTTTATCTCCGTTATGCGCGCCGTGAAGGTTCTCTGTACATTTTCTAGGTCAGCAATTTCACCTGCCTTGAAAGGTGCTGTTAGTATGCAGCAATATTCCAGCCTAGATAGAACAAGTGACCTGAAGAGTGTCATCATGGGCTTGGCATCCCTAGTCTTGAAGGTTCTCATTATCCATCCTGTCATTTTTCTAGCAGATGCAATTGATACAATGTTATGGTCCTTAAGGTAAGATCCTCCGACATGATCACTCCCAGGACTCTGACGTTAGTTTTTCGCTCTATTGTGTGGTTGGAATTTGTTTTATACTCTGATGAAGTTTTAATTTCTTCACGTTTACCATATCGGAGTAATTGAAATTTCTCATCGTTGAACTTCATATTGTTTTCTGCAGCCCATTGAAAGATTTAGTTGATGTCCACCTGGAGCCTTGCAGTGTCTGCAATGGAAGACACTGTCATGCAGATTCGGGTGTCATCTGCAAAGGAAGACACGGTGCTGTGGCTGACATCCTGTCTATGTCAGATATGAGGATGAGGAACAAGATGGGAGCGAGTACTGTGCCTTGCGGAACAGAGCTTTTCACCGTAGCCGCCTCAGACTTTACTCTGTTGACTACTATTCTTTGTGCTCTATTTGTCAGGAAATTATAGCTCCACCTACCAACTTTTCCTGTTATTCCTTTAGCACGCATTTTGTGCGCTATTACGCCATGGTCACACTTGTCGAAGATTTTAGATGAGATTTTGCCACCGAAGTGGCTAGTTTATTGTGCACCCCATATCCATCGGGTGGACGGTAGCGCAAGAGCATATGGATACACAAAAGGCCAAGGAACTAGGCCCCAGAGGGTTAACAGGAGTACATATGGATTTATATCTACATATCTATAGTTCACTTATCTGTTACAAGCAAATTTAGGAAATTTGCTTAGTATATCTGGTATCTTATTTTCAGTAATAAGATATCTTGATATGTCACATAGCTTATTATACTGTCTATCTCTGTATTCCTCAACAAGTGGACAATTAAGCACTTAGTGTTCAAGACAGTGACCATATGCTTGATCACATAATTTACATTTAGTTTGATCACCATGTGTCTCCCAAACTGCCAGAAGTATGACTCACGAAATCGTAATGACACGATTGCAAACAAACCATACCCCGGCCGGGATTGAACCCGCGGTCATAGTCTCAAAACTCCAGCCCGTCGCGTTAGCCACTAGCTGGTCTAGTGGCTAATGCAACGGGCTGGAGTTTTGAGACTCTATGACCGCGGGTTCAATCCCGGCCGGGGTATGGTTTGCCAGAAGTACTTGTAACCAAGCCTAAGACTGGCCACTACAACATCAGTCAGTCTGTTCACATTACAAGTTGCTCCATAAACATACTTATCTATGTTCATGTTATCGTAGTGGATTATAGATCTACTCAGGCTTCTAACTGCATTCCTATAACAATCATTTTCATTATTTAATTCTAATATTATTCCTAATGCTAGACAGATATACCAAAGTCATATTCTACATTCTCCCCCTGGCTACTCTTCTTGGCTAACATATCAACTTTATCATGAAGGAGTAATCCAATGTGTGATGGGATCCATAGCAATTGTACATTAATTCCTTTGTCCCTGATTTTTGAGTATCTATACCTGGCTTCTCCAATGAGCATGTTGTTGGAATCATTATATGAGTTAAGACCATTCAGTGATGACATAGAATCAGTAATGATGATAGAGTCAAGCTCAGTATCATAAGTTAGCTTTAGCGCCATTAGGATTGCAAACAATTCAGTTTGCAATGTAGACACCCAGTTGTTAATTCTTATGCCTAGTTGAACA